TTCAGGTAGTGAATCCAAAAGTCGGACCTATCCATTATAATTTGGTTTCAATCTGTCAAACATCCCATTTTCTTTATTGGCTCATCCTTTGGCGGTTCAGACAGATGCTTGCTCAGTCAGCCCATTTTCTGTGCTAAAGAGTGAGATGGATCACTTCTCAATTTCCACATCATGACTTTCCATGTTGTTTTTATGAAGAAAGATAAACAGCTGAGAATCTGGTGCCTGAAGCGTTCTCCAGCTCATATCTGACTGCTGTTGGTGCATTATTAAGGCTGGATGGTTTCCTGGGTAACATTAGTTACTGAGGTGGGAGACCACCAGGTTATCTGGCTCTGGCCCTGTCATGGCTGCCTCTGTCCCAGACTGGACACAGAGGCAGACTCATTTCCATCCATCAGGTCAGGAACTGGAACACTTACTCCCCACAGAATCACAATGCCTCCATGATAGATGGTTTCAATAAGCTGGTATTATCGGGCAGGAACCCTACTATCGCTGCAGAGTTTGGGGATAATGTTGTTTTCGGCTAAATTGTTCTGTGAGCTTTGAGGTTCACAGACCTGAAAAAAAAATAAAAAGGAAAGATGCAGCTTTTATGTTGTTATGCTGCTCCAACAGCATGAAACAGCTCATTTACTCCCAGTCCTGATTCCTCTCCTGTTTTCTTCCTTGATTTTTTTTTGCCCCCTTTGCTTTTCCTCTAGGGGCCCCTCTGGTTTTTATTTTGTTTTTTTTTTTCTGTCTCCCATATCAAGTTGCTTTCATCTGTAGGTTCAGGTGGAGAGCCGTACGGTGAGCTGCTGCGGTAAGCAAAGCTGCAAATGCTGTCATGCGGCCTTTTCTTTTAACAAGCTTTGCCATTTCAGCTGCTGTGTGAATGGAATGGGGGGGTAGCGGTAGGTGTTGGGGGGTAAGGGGAGTCTGAAGAGCTGTTCATTCCTCTTTTCTCAGAATGGAGTGATTTTCCTTCCTTGGGCACAATAGGTCCTCTGTGTCTTTTTATTGCCACTGAAGGAAAGAGGAGTTGCGTGAACGCACACACACACACACACACACCAACCCCCCCTTCACACACATTGCACCCACACACGCATGCACAGCTCGCACACACCGGGGATATAACGGAGGGTTGTAACATGTGCAGCCTTGCACACCAATGAGGAAGCTTCCCCCCGTAGAACACTCTCCTCTCTTATCTCCCAGCCCTGGGACTCTGGGTGTGTGTGCTCCTGTCTTAGCATCAGAGTGAGGACTATTTGAAACTCATTAAGGACATTTGGAGGGTCCTCCCTGCCTGTAAAACAAAGAATAAGGTTTAGAGCTAAGGTGTGAACAGAGTTTAGGTTCTGGTTACGGTTTGGTCTGCTCTAGTAATGGTTAGGTTAATGGTTAGGGTTAGCTATGCTCTGGTAATGGTTAAGTTAACAGTTGGGGTCAGCTATGCTTTGGTAATCATTAGGTTTAGCTGTGTTCTGGTACTGGTTAGGTTAATAGTTATGGTTACTTATGTATTGGTATTGTTAGGTTAATAGTTAGGATTAGTTATGCTTTGGTGATAATTTGGTTCATAGAGAGTTTGTCTACTGATGGTGGTCAGAGGGCCCGGTGGCGCCAGTGTACGGCAGCCCCGCTTCTGTCAGTGAGCCCCAGGGCAGCTGTGGCTACAATGTAACTTGCCGCCATCAGTGTGTGAGTGTGTGCAGGAATTGGGTGGATGACTGAATGTAGTTTAAAGGAATAGTACACCCAAAACATGATTAGCCTTCATTTTCTACTCACCCCCATGCTGAACAACACTCTGGAGTACTTTTTTGATATCTCATATGCATCTTGAGATCTGG